TTAAATATTGAAAAAAGATACCGAGATATATATATTTTATTCAACATTAATAATAGAGGACGCTGTTTGCACGAATCTGATCACGGTATCACTCTCACAATACAATAGAAAATAAGTTAGTTATATAAAACTTAAAATCCTTATATCAAATGCTGAAACATAAAATTCCTAAACATTTAAATCAAATTACTATTGGTGGCAAGAAATACAGGCAAACGATTAGCTATGGAAAGTAGCAGACTTTGAACAAGTTCGGTTTCTCAATTGTATTGTTGAGATAAGCAAAAGAGATCAGTCTTAAAGTTTAATGGTTAAATGCAAAACCTGCGATTGTACAGAACTCAAAGGCCAACAATAGTAAAAAAAAAAAAAAAAAACTGTCTCCTACTTTTTTTCAGTAGTATTATAGGAAGCAATGACACCAGAGAAAAAATGTGTTGTTAGTAGATTTGCTGTGACATAATTTATAACTAATTATCTGAATACTATATGACATTTTTATTACAATTAATTTTTACCTCACTTTTATTTCCATTTTTTGCCAGTTGCATTCTTATATAATAACAGAATTATTTTATTTTGTTTGCTTTTTGTTAGATTAGCATTAATATTTTTTTACAAATGTGATTTTTTTCCTGTTATATTTTTGTTTATTATTCAATTATGAGGATGATGATGATGACGATTATGATCGTGATGGTGATGATGAGGATGATGATATTGCCTGTGTTGATGATAGTAATGATGACGATGATGACAATATGTTAGGAGTCGTTATAATGATGATGAAGGTGATTATGATGATCATACGGATGATACAATAATGATGATGTTGCTAGGAATAGTGATGATGATGAGGATAATGATTATAATTATGATTATGAGGATAATTATTATGCTGATGAAGATGATAATGTTTGTAATTATGGTATTAATGATGATGATAATTTTATTGATAATTATTATGAAAGCAGTAACAATAGGAGGGGTCCCAAGTCTCCCATTACTCCCTTTCGTTCTCCCGGAAATCAGCACATGCATTTCGATACTTGGGAGTATGTATTATACTATAAATGATGATGACATAATTAATGTCAAAATATTCAATCCCGACACGATATCCTGCATTTCGATACTTGGGAGTACGTATTATACTATCTTATCTGAGATTAATCAGTGGACCTTTCGGTTTTTCCTTGTGTAGGTTTACAGTATTTATACCAGCACTTTTTTTTCTCAAGTTTCTTGTGATCATCTGATTAACTGTGTGACATCAAATTCTTATCTAGACTTTTTATTTATAGATTCATGACGTGGAAGCTTGATATTGTTATATATATATATGTATATATATATATATCCGTGATTCTTGTGAACGATATAAAAGTCAGTGACGTAGATTTTGATTGTGTAATAACAATGAATGCAATGATATCTGTTAAATTGCATGCTTTTAAGAGTAGAGTACCCTCAAGAAACACATCTTCCGTGCATTTAATTCATGTGTTTGGGTCCTTGGTGTTGAGGTAACCTGTCCTAGATCTTACCTACCCCCACCAAAGGTGCTGTTACCAAAAATTACCCTCTTTTATTGGTATCCATGGAAACATAGGACAACCTTATTAATAATATGAAAGTTTATGTAGTGTACAGCCTGCCTAAAAAAAAAATACTAAGCCTTCATAAACTTGCATTGTTCTTTATATAAAATTAAATTAAGTGTATCTTCTTTGTGCTGGATAACATGTTCTATAGAATTCTACTGTTTTCCCAAGGGCCCAGTTATGCTTCATAAACTAGTTTGAATCATTTTTATCAATATTAAAAAGTACGTTTTTTACTAGGTATGTTTTTGTTATATTGTCTTTGCTTCAGTGGTATATCTAGGGGGTGGTGTAATCCCCAAGAGTTTTCCTCTCCCCCCCCCCCATTGAAATGTCGGAAACAAATAAAATCACTTTCAAGTTTTTTAAAATCACCTCATATCACCATATTTTCCGACCATTGAAGAAAGTTTGAAAATGAAATAGAATTTAAAAAAAGCAAATTTGAACAGAAACTATAACTTCCCTGCCGTCAGAAAAAGCCAATAATTAGGCTATAGTCATTCATCCTTTGACTATTGGTATGTGCCTGATATGCTAGACCATGACCTCTATGGCTAGACTAAATCTAGTAGATTCCATCATTATATTATTGAATAAAATATATACTGTAAAAAAAAAAGGAAATGTTTACAAATATAATCATCCAACAACCGTTTGTGTAACCTCAGTTGTATAATGAGCTAATGTCGTAATCTACCATGGAACGTGCTATTTAGAAAAAAGTGTTGACCAAACATGTTCAATAGGCCTCTATATACCAAGAATAGCAGGTGGTAGAAACATATTGTCCAAAACCACTGATCCAAAAAATAGAAGAAGGAAGTGAAGGTTGAATCCTGTTTACGTCACACGCTACCAGTACCAGTACAACTTCACACAAATTCCCTTCGTCGTCCCAAAATAAATAATGCTATTTTTAGAACTACTGTCCATTGTCAAGTTTATCAGTTATTTGTTTTATTTCATTTTTTACAGCACTGTAAACCTGGACTGTTACCAACCTTGTTATGTAAAATTTGGAAGTTTGAATTATTTTATTTCATTTCCCTCATTAGACACTATTGATATCTGTAAAATTTTTGTCTTTCCTTCATTGTGTAATAAATCTACCGTACATTTAGTAAAATTAATATATTAAACATATTAATTAAAAAAATTATGGATGACCACTTGCCTCATATGAATGCCTACTCTGTCAATCTATTATGCTTATCAAAAAGTATGCTCAGGTAAGTGTCCAAAGTTCTTAATGTGGGCCTTCATACACATCTTTATATTTTTATAATTATTATTTATAACTCCATGGTTTAACATACAGTAATATTGTGTCTACTACCCCTTGGGTAGACACATTGCTTACATCTGACAATTGACCCGGTAAGAGTAAATCCGGTAAGATTATATGCAGTAAGAAATGATTTGATGGGACATGAGCTAAAAATATAAATGAAAAGCAAGTTCACGAAATATTATGCCATGCTAGGTACCTGTAAGACCTCGTGGGAGGGGGTCCCTGTTGGTACTGTATGGCTTTAATTATGCTGATTGCTACTTGAGGAAGGGTTGCACTGGCCAGGTGTCCAAAGAGACGGAGACGAGATGAGCGTATATTTTGCCTGTAATAAGTGTTTGGTTGGTGATTTGTCGATTTTGTAGGTTTGATACTGTCAAACCAATTTATAGGGAGAGAAGTAAATGAAAATAGTATAAAGGTTTCAATATAATGTGATTAATTCAGTTCTAATAATTGACTTACACTACCTTGCCTTATAATAATAAATTATTATGTAATTCAATTGCATCATTTAACTTACTAATAACTTTCTGTATTCTTGAAACTGTGGGTACTATATTTACCCCATGTGTATAACTAAAAAAAATACTGTAAAGACAGCCTTTCTCTGAATTTATAGAAGTTTTGGAGATTATTTTTATTGTAAATTTATTATCTCTAATAAGACAATTCATTAAATACATTCAGTTTATTGAAGTAGTCCTGTTTTATTTGGTTATAAATTACCAATAAAAGTATATATAAACATAGTATTATAGAGTTATTAAAAGTATTAAATTTGAAAAAGCAAGGATTAGATTTGTTAAATTTCACACTGTTTGATATTTAGCAGGGTCTTAGATAAGTACTGTGCTTTTACTGTTGCATTTTTATTTGTGCAAGGATTACAGTATATTTGCTAAATTTCACATAGAGGGAACTAACAACACAAAGACAGTTTGTGATGGTTAGCAGGGTTTTATATAGGTATAGTACTTTCAGTGTTGAATTCTGATTTGAGCAAGGATAATATTTGTTAAATTTCACGTAGAGGGAGCTGACAACACAGAGACACTGTATGATAGTTAGCAGGGCCTTAGATAGGTAGAGTACACTCAATGTTGCATTCTGATTTGAAACACAAAGGATTTGCGAAGTTTACTTGCCACTTTCCCTTTTATTACCAACAGGTTCATGAGTACGGACCTACTTCTACATTGAAATTATGCTTTAAGCAAGGAAATAGGTTTTTAAGCCTAAACCAAAGCTAAGATAATAGTTTCTCTATAACTTGTCTTGTAGTAGTAAGAATAGAACTATTGATACAGATGTTTTATTTATTATTGCTCTATACATCAATAATAATCTGACAAAGAAACAAAAAAACTCAGCCTCCACTGGGACTCGAAACCCAGGACCTTTTGCATACATCGCAACAAATGTCATAACAACTTGACCGCAAAGGCTTCATGGTGAGTCAAGCGCCGGTAGAATCTAAGTTCCTTTCATTCTATACTCGGACCCAGGACCTTTCGCATACATGGTGAATATCATAACCAATGCTTGATAGATGAATATATATGAATATATGTGTATTTGTA